TATTAATGCTGTTCGGGAAATACACAACACAGCTCGCATCTATTTCAACATTTCATGAGCACTAAATGTTATCTTCCTAATGCCATAGAGCAGTTTATTATTTTACTTGCAGGAAAATTATAGACTAAAATCCCTAAAGTCAAATACCACGCTAGATTGGACTCAATGCTTTCGGGAATTGTAAAACGTTTTTAAAGCCCAAATGTACCCTTCCCTTCAGTATTACGTTTGAAGAACAAGTGTTATTTTCACCAAATGAATACAAGTAACTCTAAAAAGGACATGTTCTCTATAAAATGTACTTTTATTTCTATAGGCATCGAAAATCAATAGAAAAAGATGTAGTAATTGGGCAGTCATTGCTTACCGAGGATAATTTTTGCAGACTACCAAAAGGAAGTGCCGGCATAAGGATGTCCGACATATTATAGGATTATCAGGGACGGTTATCGGATTTGAATAATTCACTTGACTAAAATGTAAAAAATTCACGGCCTCGATGGGAGTCAAACCAACAGATAAATGAAGGCTTTTGCGCAGTCAGCGCTCTACTATTTAGCTACAAGGCTCACCGTGAGCCTGCTTGGGCAGTCAGTTTGCCTTATCTGTAATAGTGGATTCCATACAAGCAGTAAAGTTGCGCGAACAAAATCAATCCAAATGGGATAAAACTCACGGCGCACAGTGAATCTTGTAACTCAATGGTAGAGCGTTGGCTGCGCAAACGCCTTCTCTGCTGTGTGGGTTCGACTCCCACTGAGGCCGCGAGTTTTTCACCATTGAGCCGACTGAATTATGGAATTACGCCGCAAGATAATCAATGTTGCAATTCTTCCAAGTAATTCTTCCTAATCGAAAACGTGTTTCAGAATTTCGGTTAACATTTCACGAGATCGGTTACTCACAGTAAACTTAGCTGCAACATAAGATATTCTAGATGAATTAAAGGAAGCTGACAGGGGAATGCGAAACAATAAAATGTGTGTTTTCGGGACGGCTACGCGGATGTTCACGCAAAAACGCGAAATAATCTTAGAGATTGGTTCGGGTGCAAAGAGAAAGAAGTCCTCAACTGGGATCTAACTTTGTGGCTTTCAAGTCGTGCGTCGTGCCTGAAAAATGGAAGCAGGGTTTTGAAAGAGGAGCCGCCATTTGTGGACTGACATACAGGGCGTTAAAAATCGTTTGGCAAGGTACAATGCTTTGCGAACAATAGCAGAGTACCGGGGCGTTAGGGGCATACAAGAGTTGCCATGGAAGCGATGGACGTGCACGGGAAGGGGGGAAAGGTAAAGGGACACAAAGACAAGTCATAAAGTGGGTGTCCAAAATCATGGAAACTTTAAGGTACAGTCAGTGATAGATCTCATGCAATTTTAAATGAAATTCGAAAATGCATTGTCGATTACGAAATATTACTGAAGAGGGGTTTTAATACTGATTACAGTGCAGCATATTCTCTACATATTTCAGGCACGACAAAATGCCGGTATTAATTTTAATGGCCCTATAAACGGAAATATATTCCACAGGAAGTATACACAAAATATATTTTCTTCTACTCATTTGGTGCCATATCGCTTATTCTTCACAATTTATAATCAAAATAAGGATACTCTTTGGTGTGAAAAAATGTAACCATGCGCTTTAAAGAATACAATGGCCGTTCAAATGGTATCGTATGTGTGTCCGTTTGCTAATAATGCTTATGAAGTAGGCAACATAGCCCAATTCCACTGTAAAATTTGATGGGAATATATGATTTTCTTTACATGAAAAGTATGCAGCTTGTAGACTGCAAGCCCTCAATACAAATTTAACGGCAGATTGAGCTCAAAATGTTCAGTAATAGAAACATTTTTTGAAAACCTTAATACACCGTTTATTCTGGTCATAAAGTTGAAGGACATTATTTGCTCCCAACCGAGGGCAACGAATAATAATGTTTTCTAGAAAGTATACTGGAATTTGTAACAGCATCAGAAATTTAGAAATAATAAAGCTATTTTAATATGAAATTTGAAGCATCTTTCCCAGATACAAATTTGAAGATTGCGTATATAGCAGAATTTAATGGAACCATAAATTTCGCTACTGCCTACTGCTGGTTTTGCAGACGGCCGAAAGGACGTGCATTTAAAAAATTGGCATCCTTGAGTTTTTTTTTAATATCTCGGATATATGCTGCACGATAATAGAAGTTGCAACTCTAATTCAGTAATCTTTTTGAATCGAAAACACATTTTACAATTTCGTTTAATATCCTGTGATAGCAAATCTTCTTTAGTAAACCGTTTTCATGCATCCAATCGATTCAGCAAGCGAAATTAGCCAGTTCAAACTTGTCCGGTCAAATTTTCATCTCAAAATTTAATGACTTAGACAATCTATTTTATAAGATGGTCATTTGGTGGATTCTAGATTGATTGCTTACGAAATCCTGCTTGGGTATTCAGCTTACTGTGTCAAAATTGGTGTACTTCATAGATTGCAGTTGGCTGGGCGAATAACTTGACCTAAATGTAACTAAAGTCACGGCTCCCGGTCGAGTCGCATAGTTCAGATAGTTCGCCTGTTGACTATGGGGTAGTGGGTTTAAATCTCACCGAGACCGCCGAGTTTTCATAACTGGGTCAAACGAATCATTCAACTGTGTTAAACACGCCTGCTAATAGAGACTATAATGTGGACTAGATAGCACGGTCTTCCGAAGCCAGACAGATGTTCGAGGCAACCGAGGATGTGAAGACAAGATGGCAGTACTTGGACTTATTGTGTGGAATGAAGCCAATGGTTGCTTGTTTGGTTCAAATTGCTATCACTTTCGACCCACATCTGAGAGATGCACTGCAGCGTGCCCTCGAGGTCAAAGGGTTTCCCTGAAATAAGTCAACCTCGTTAGAGCCATATTCACGCGAAAACTTGACTGCTAGCCTATGGCGACCTCGCGCACTTCTTTTCAAATTCCTTAAAAATCTGGACAAGGCCAAATATCACCAGTGCTTCCACCTCTGGGCAAACTAAAACGTGAAAATTACTTCCGAAAAACTTTGTGGGATGGTGAAGAAATTACAATTTGTGGTTCAGAATCCACCGTCATGCTAAGTTGTAATCATTTCAAACAGCAGTTTGCCGTTGCCATCAACAACATAGTGGGCAAACGAAATACTATCAAGGTAGTTGTGCGATTCGTATGACTGGTCTCGACTACCTTGCGTCAGTTGATGTAACAATTAAGCTAAATAGAGTTAAGGTGCTCAGATCCCAGAAACCTAGCGGAAAATGCACCACAATCGGCGCGCAAAATTCAGTATC